AGTAGTGCAGGGATTTGGAGGGACCACTGAAGTCGCATGTGGAGGGTTATGGCTAGAGGGGGGTGGCGGAAACTGAGCGTTTGGAAAGGTAGAATAGTCTGGCAGCCGTATTCAGGATGGACTGAAGCGGGGATAGCCAGCGGCGAGGCAGGCCAGTGAGGAGGGAGTTGCAGTAGTCGAGTCGTGAGTTCACCAAAAACCCTAAAGTCTAACACTAGCACTTATTCCTAACACTAACATGCGACTTCGGTCACATAACGGTCCATGCACTATGTATGCTGCATTCATGACCCTACTCAGGTACCAGTAAATAACCCAAACCCTAACTATGCAGGAACCTGACCCTAACTAGTGACCCCAACCTGACCCTGACCCTAACTATGACCCTGACCACTATGACCCTAACTCTGACCCACTGACCCTGACCCTAACTATGACCCTGACTCTGACCCTGACCCTAACTATGACCCTGACCCCAACTATGACCCTGACCCTAACTATGACCCTGACCCTAACTATGATGACCCTAACTATGACCCTGACCCTAACTATGACCCTGACCCTAACTATGACCCTGACCCAACTATGACCCTGACCCTAACTATGACCCTGACCCAACTATGACCCTGACCCCAACTGACCCTGACCCCCTAACTATGACCCTGACCCTAACTATGACCCTGACCTGACCCCAACTATGACCCTGACCCTAACTATGACCCCAACTATGACCCTGACCCTAACTATGACCCTGACCCTAACTATGACCCTGACCCTAACTATGACCTGACCCCCTAACTATGACCCCCTGACCCCAACTATGACCCTGACCCTAACTATGACCCTGACCCTAACTATGACCCCAACTATGACCCTGACCCTAACTATGACCCTGACCCCAACTATGACCCTGACCCTAACTATGACCCTAACTATGACCCTGACCCCAACTATGACCCTGACCCTAACTATGACCCTGACCCCAACTATGACCCTGACCCTAACTATGACCCCAACTATGACCCTGACCCTAACTATGACCCTGACCCCAACTATGACCCTGACCCTAACTATGACCCTAACTATGACCCTGACCCCAACTATGACCCTGACCCCAACTATGACCCTGACCCCAACTATGACCCTGACCCCAACTATGACCCTGACCCTAACTATGACCCTAACTATGACCCTGACCCTAACTATGACCCTACCTATGACTCTGACCCCTGGCCCTAACTATGACCCTAATCCTAACTATGACCCTACCTATGACTCTGACCCTGGCCCTAACTATGACCCTAACCCTAACTATGACCCTATGACTCTGACCCTGACCCTAACTATGACCCTGACCCTAACTATGACCCTGACCCCAACTCTGACCCTAACTCCAACTCTGACCCTAGCTGTAACCAAACCATAACTTTGACCCCAACTCTCACCCTAACTCTAATCTGAACCCTCACTTTGACCCCAACTCTCACCCCAATCCTAACTCTGACCCTAACCCCATCTCTAACCATAACTCTGACCCTAACCCAACTCTCTGACCCTAACCCCAACTCTGACCCTAACCCTAACTGACCCTAATTAACTCTAACCATAACCCATCCCTAACCCCATCTCTGACCCTAACCATAACTGACCCTAATTAACTCTAACCCTAACCCCATCTCTGACCCTAACCCCATCCCTGACCCCAACTCTGACCCTGACCCAACTCTGACCCTGACCCCAACTCTGACCCTGACCCCAACTCTGACCCTGACCCCAACTCTGACTCTCACCCTAACTCTGACCATAACCGTAACTCTGACCATAACCCTAACTCTGGCCCTACCTCTGGGACCCCCAAGTCTAACCCTAACTCTAAGGCCGGGGCAGTAACAGAATGGCAGGAAGTAATAATAGTTGGTTAACTATCCAGGATCATTGGAGGCCGGGGTGGGACAAGGGGTGGGCAGGAGGGGCATGCTGCCCAGGGCACTGCATTAAGGAAGGCGCCCCCTCAACACTCTCAAGCCCCAGATCAGTGTCTAGCATCCATGGGGCTGCTCTGACAGGTACTGCCTTCCCTCTGTGCCCACAACAAGAAAACATTGCACATTCGAAACGACCTTCTAGTTGCTAAAGGCACGCACTTGGCCACGCATGTGCACACGGAGCAAAGGGGGCTGAGAATGGGCACAAGGTGGTACACCCATTCCTCAGCATGTGGGACAGTGGGTGCAGTTATCCATCCATGCCCTGGGCACTGAAGCAGCCTGTCCCACGACTACAGAGGTGAGAAAAGTCCGGGAACACGCCAGAGCAGGAACAGAGATGGGGGTCCGGAATCACGAGTCACAGAAGTATAGCACAGGATGGCTCAGGACTGGGGTCTTAATAGGCCGCTTGCTGCCACCATGCGCAGTGAGTGTGCGTGCAGACAGAGGGCGCTGTGCGTGCAGACAGAGGGCGCTGTGCGTGCAGACAGAGGGCGCTGTGCGTGCAGACAGAGGGCGCTGTGCGTACAACGGGCTCTACTCCTTCCCCCGCTCTAATCAAACGTTCTGGCTGGACATACACTATGAGAACAAGACGAGGCGTGTAACAGAGACGTAAGCAGACGAATAACTGCATGGAGGATGACTGGGATCTCTACTGATTGTTGCAGCTTTAGGTGCGGTCTGCGCCCTGGGGGAGAAGGCGGCGCTGATAGACTGCAGGATACCCCTTGTGGGCCAATACTACTCCACCACGGACCTGCTCAGCTCCGCAGCACAGCTGGCATTGGAGGTAAGATCAAAAACATCAAACACCTCCGCTCCTCATCTCCATCACATGGGGGGGGGGGATTTGTAGTATTCCCTTCACTCGCACACCTGTATACCTCCCCCCCCCCCAATCTCCGCTCCTCATCTCCATCACATGGGGGGGGGGGGGGATTTGTAGTATTCCCTTCACTCGCACACCTGTATACCTCCCCCCCCCCCCCAATCTCCGCTCCTCATCTCCATCACATGGGGGGGGGGGGATTTGTAGTATTCCCTTCCGCTCTCACACCTGTATACCCCCCCCCCCAATCTCCGCTCCTCATCTCCATCACATGGGGGGGGGATTTGTAGTATTCCCTTCCGCTCTCACACTTGTATACCCCCCCCCATCTCCGCTCCTCATCTCCATCACATGGGGGGGGATTTGTAGTATTCCCTTCCACTCTTACACCTGTATACCCCCCCCCCCCCCCCAATCTCCGCTCCTCATCTCCATCACATGGGGGGGGGAAATTGTAGTAATCCCTTCCACTCTCACACCTGCAGCCTCATCAGTGCAGCCTCCTCAGTGTTGCCTATCAGCGCAGCCTATCAGTGTCCATCAGTGCAGCCTCATCAGTGTCCATCAGTGCAGCCTATCAGTGTCCATCAGCGCAGCCTATCAGTGTCCATCAGCGCAGCCTATCAGTGTCCATCAGCGCAGCCTATCAGTGTCCATCAGCGCAGCCTCATCAGTGTCCATCAGCGCAGCCTCATCAGTGTCCATCAGCGCAGCCTCATCAGTGTCCATCAGCGCAGCCTCATCAGTGTCCATCAGCGCAGCCTCATCAGTGTCCATCAGCGCAGCCTATCAGTATCCATCAGCGCAGCCTCCTCAGTGTCGCCTATCAGTGCAGCCTCCTCAGTATCCATCAGCGCAGCCTATCAGTGTCCATCAGCGCAGCCTATCAGTGTCCATCAGCGCAGCCTATCAGTGTCCATCAGCGCAGCCTATCAGTGTCCATCAGCGCAGCCTATCAGTGTCCATCAGCGCAGCCTCATCAGTGTCCATCAGCGCAGCCTCATCAGTGTCCATCAGCGCAGCCTCATCAGTGTCCATCAGCGCAGCCTCATCAGTGTCCATCAGCGCAGCCTATCAGTGTCCATCAGCGCAGCCTATCAGTGTCCATCAGCGCAGCCTATCAGTGTCCATCAGCGCAGCCTATCAGTGTCCATCAGCGCAGCCTCATCAGTGTCCATCAGTGCAGCCTATCAGTGTCCATCAGTGCAGTCTATCAGTGTCCATCAGTGCAGCCTATCAGTGTCCATCAGTGCAGTCTCACCAGCACACACAAGTGAATAAGAAAAATTACTTAATTTGCAAAATTTTTATAACAGAAACGAAGAAAAAACATTTTTTTCACACAGCATGCGTTTCAGTTGCTTTTTTTCTGCATCCAAAACGCACAGAAAGTAGGTGATAGAGTTGTCATAGTTCACTTCAGCTCTTGCAGTTCCGGTGCGTTCCGAATGCAGAAAAAAAAACAAAGTAGAACAAGCGGCATTTTTTCTGCTCAGAACTGTACTGGAATGGGGTAAAACGCATCAAAATGCACATCTCTTTGAATTGAAGAAAAAAAAAAAAGGAGGGGAAAAATGAACTGGAACACATTAAAAAATGCACCGGAACACGCCAAAAACACGCATGCAGAATGCATCCGGAACGGGACTACGTTTCTATAGTGTGAACCGGCCCTTACTGTAAATAGAAAGTATACATTTGTCCCGTCTAAAAGTCGCTGGAGCGCTGGTTCCGGTCCCTTCACCAGCGTGCCGCAGCCACATGCCGGAGTTTCTGGGGTCGATCTATTATTGGTCAGACAGTGCAGGAGATTACCGATTCGGTTTTATATCTGCAGAACAATCTACAGAAAGTAGCTGTGAAAGCTCTGGAATGGTTGGCTGAACGATCGCTGGACACACAACAAGTGTTCGCCTCACTCAGGTAATCTTTACTACACCTCTGCTTCAATTAAAGCCATACTCCACCTTAATCAATCAATCAATCAATGCGCCAATATTGGAATCGCATTACTAGCATTGCAGCCGCAGTCAGGGAATTGGGGCCCATTTACACTCGCTTCGCCTTTAACACACATCAGAACGCCTACCGCTTCAACGGGCTTTTTTGTGTTTGTGACGCTTTTCTGAAGCTTTAATGAATTTTTGATTTTTTTTTAAAGGGGCGCAATAAAATCCCAGCTCAGTAGTACCTCCACTCAGCAGATCCCCAGCTTATTAGTGCCCTTGTTCACCAGATTCCCCGCTCAGCAACAACCCCCAGCTCTGCTGATCCCTCGCTCGGTAGTAACCCCCAGCTCTGCTGATCCCTCGCTCGGTAGTAACCCCCAGCTCTGCTGATCCCTCACTCGGTAGTAACCCCCAGCTCTGCTGATCCCTCGCTCGGTAGTAACCCCCAGCTCTGCTGATCCCTCGCTCGGTAGTAACCCCCAGCTCTGCGGATCCCCCGTTCATTAGTAACCTCTAGCTCTGCTGATCCCCCGTTCATTAGTAACCCCCCAGCTCTGCTGATTCCACGCTCACTAGTAACCCCCAGCTCTGCTGATCCCCCGTTCATTAGTAACCCCCAGCTCTGCTGATTCCACGCTCACTAGTAACCCCCAGCTCTGCTGATCCCCCGTTCATTAGTAACCCCCAGCTCTGCTGATCTCTGCTCAGTAGTAACCCCCAGCTCTGATAATCCCCCCGCTCAGTAGTAACCCCCCAGCTCTGCTGATCTCTGCTCAGTAGTAACCCCCAGCTCTGATAATCCCCCGCTCAGTAGTAACCCCCAGCTCTGCTGATCTCTGCTCAGTAGTAACCCCCAGCTCTGATAATCCCCCGCTCAGTAGTAACCCCCAGCTCTGCTGATCCCCCCCATTCAGTAGTAACCCCCCAGCTCTGATAATCCCCCGCTCAGTAGTAACCCCCAGCTCTGCTGATCCCCCCATTCAGTAGTAACCCCCAGCTCTGATAATCCCCCGCTCAGTAGTAACCCCCAGCTCTGATAATCCCCCGCTCAGTAGTAACCCCCAGCTCTGATAATCCCCGCTCAGTAGTAACCCCCAGCTCTGCTGATCCTCTGGTTTGCTGATCCTCCTCTGTCTAGTCTGGCTCACCTCCCACTTTTTCCGTTCTATTCTTTTCTATTGTATTATTTTCTTTTCTATTTTATTCCTTTATTTTCTATTCTGTCTTATTCTATTCTTGTTTTCAAATTCAATTTAGCATTCGATTTGAATTTCGGACGTAATTTTGTTTCGTTATTTTGGATTAATTTAAATTAGTTACTGTTTTAAGTCGGAAATTCGGTTACATCCGAATAACAAATAATTCGTCCCAATTTCAATTCGAAACGAACCTCACATGTCTATTCTCAATAAATGCAGAGCCTTCTCTGATTGGATGAGGTGGAGAGGCAGGGTGATGACGGCATGCTCTCCACCTTGTCCAATCAAAGAAAACGCAAGGCAGGCTTTGAATGGCGCCCCATTCAAACTTGTCCATTCAGGGTCAGTTAAATGCATCTGAAGTTTCCTCCAAAATAGATTGTGAGATCCGTGGGATTATCGTCGTTGGCAGCGATCATCGTTTTTATTCGGTGTGTGGTTCTTGTATTGTTAGGTGTTTGGTGCGCTTGACACTGAAGGAGGAACCTGAAGACCAAGCCAAGAGGTAATACAGGAGAATCTCTGTTCAACATTCTCCATTTGCAGAGTCTTACCTGTTACACCAAATGTGAATATACCGTCCTATAAGCCCCAGAGGTAGACCTAGTGCACTCAGCAATCAGCACTCAGTAACAGAACTGGTCTGTCAACGCCCCCTTTCTTCATCTGTAGGAGGACAGCTGTTCCGAGGGGGGTGTGGCTATTATTGAGTTCTGATAGCTCAGAGCACTGAAGGAGAATCTTTAATGATAGAAAAAAAAAGTATTTTAAAGCATTTACAAGCAAAAATCTCAAATATCATTGCAACCGTATTGCAGAATCGACATAAAGCTGAACTTCTGGCACAAAAACGTTCATTTCAATCTACTCCTCATTAGTCCCACAGGGTATAAATCCACTTTGTGTGCACCAGATGCATTTGCAATCCCAGATATCACTTTGTAAAAGAGACCAGAGCTGTGGGAGGGACCCCACAGGCCCCACCCACTACAAAAAAAAAAAAACCCCCCAAAAAACCTACAGGATGGGGGGTAGACAAGACCAGTCACCCTGCAGAGAGAGCCGAACTGTGGGAGGGCCCCAGCAGGCTCCACCTACAGCAGGCTGCCTGACGAAAACTACAGGAGGGGGTGGAGACAAGACTAGTCCTCCCCCTGCACAAAGAGGGAGAGCAGAGCTGTGGGAGGGACCCAACAGGCCCCTCCCACTACAAAAAAAAACCTACAGAAGGGGGAGGAGGCAAGACCAGTCCCCCTGCACAAAGAGGGAGAGCAGAGTTGTGGAAGGGACCCAACAGGCCCCACCCACTACAAAAAAACCTACAGAAGGGGGAGGAGACAATACCAGTCCCCCCTGCACAAAGAGGGAGAGCAGAGCTGTGGGAGAGACCCAACAGGCCCCTCCTACTACAAAAAAAACCTACAGAAGGAGAAGGAGACGACCAGTCCCCGTGTACAAAGAGGGAGAGCAGAACTGTGGGAGGGACCCAACAGGCTCCACCCATGGCAGACTGCCTTCAGAAAACCACAGGAGGGGGCGGAGACAAGACCAGTCTCCCTGCACAAGGAGAGAAAGCAAGCTGTGGGAGGGACCCAGCAGGCTTTCTGCAGAAAACTACAGGAAGGGGGCGGAGACAAGATCAGTCCCTCTACACAAGGAGAGAGAGTAGATCTCTGGGAAGGACCCAGCAGGCTCCACCCACTGCAGGCTCCCCGCAGAAAACTACAGGAGGGAGCGGAGACAAGACTAGTCCCCCTGCTTAAGGAGAGAGAGCAAGCTGTGGGAGGGACCCAGCAGGCTCCACCCACAGCAAGCTCCCTGCAGAAAACTCCAGGAGGGGGCGGAGACAAGATCAGTCCCTCTGCACAAGGAGAGAGAGCAAGCTGTGGGAGGGACCCAGCAGGCTCCACCCACGGCAGGCTCCCTGCAGAAAAACTCCAGGAGGGGGCGGAGACAAGATCAGTCCCTCTGCACAAGGAGAAATAGTAGATCTCTGGGAAGGACCCAGCAGGCTCCACCCACAGCAGGCTCCCTGCAGAAAACTCCAGGAGGGGGCGGAGACAAGATCAGTCCCTCTGCACAAGGAGAAATAGTAGATCTCTGGGAAGGACCCAGCAGGCTCCACCCACAGCAGGCTCCCTGCAGAAAACTCCAGGAAGGGGGCGGAGACAAGACCAGTCCCCCTGCACAAGGAGAGAGCAGCAGTGAGCGGTCTTTACTTCAGGAGGTCCCACACTGGATCGCTGCACAGATCTGGAAGACATTCGCAAATCACTCTGAGGTTCAGGAAGAAGTCACATGACCAAGGGATTTGGACAGTATCTCCTGACCCCGGAGTTCAGTCTAAAGCCATGTTTCGTTGGTGTGGTCAGTTCATCCCATTACCCCGGTACTTGCTTGGTGGTTGGATTGCTCTTGGTAATGTTTAACGGTGCAAATCTTTTCTATCTCCCCAGAGTCCATGACACCGAGACTTTGATGTTATATTTAAATACAGGTACGGTCAGCTCTGCTTTTCTTTCTCTAAACCCCTTCAGTCCCCCCCCCCACCATATTCCCGTATTGGTAAGAGCCGGGAAGGGTTAGGCTTTTATTGCTGTCTATGGCTTTATTAGAGAAATTTCCTCTCACTTCTCGCAGGAAGTGATGGTGAATCTCTACAATGGACACAGACACATTATTTGTACAGGGGGGGGGATTAGAACTTCTGACAATGATTCTGCTGTATTGTTGATGACACCCAATGTTATGGTGTCAGTGTAAATCAAAAATCTGGCTATTGGGCCGGCAGCTTCTCCGTATCAGCAAAGCTCGGGTGTGCGCCCCCTCCGTGTCAGCGCAGCTCGGGTGTGCGCCCCCTCTCCGTGTCAGCGCAGCTCGGGTGTGCGCCCCCTCTCCGTGTCAGCGCAGCTCGGGTGTGCGCCCCCTCTCCGTGTCAGCGCAGCTCGGGTGTGCGCCCCCTCCGTGTCAGCGCAGCTCGGGTGTGCGCCCCCTCCGTGTCAGCGCAGCTCGGGTGTGCGCCCCCCCCCCTGCCCATGCTTCCAGGACCTAACCCCCGCCATGCTTCCAGGACCTAACTCATAAATGTGAGCCTACCTGCAGCCTCAGCATTCCTCATTTTTCCGGCATTCCCAGAGCAGGTAGAGGAGCCGCCTGGGGGTAACTACTAGAGCCGGATTTCCCAGAGCAGGCAGAGGAGCCGCCTGGGGGTGACTACCAGAGCCGGCTTTCCCAGAGCAGGTAGAGGAGCCGCCTGGGGGTGACTACCAGAGCCGGCATTCCCAGAGCAGGTAGAGGAGCCACCTGGGGGTGACTACCAGAGCCGGAATTCCCAGAGGAGGTAGAGGAGCTGCCTGTGGGGGGACTACCAGAGCCGGCATTCCCAGGAAAGGCAGAGGAGCCGCCTGGGGGTGACTACCAGAGCCAGCATTCCTGGCAGAGGAGCCGCCTGGGGGTGACTACCAGAGCCAGCATTTCTGGCAGAGGAGCCGCCTGGGGTGACTACCAGAGCCAGCATTCCTGGCAGAGGAGCCACCTGGAGGTGACTACCAGAGCCGGCATTCCCAGAGAAGGCAGAGGAGCCGCCTGGGGTGACTACCAGAGCCAGCATTCCTGGCAGAGGAGCCACCTGGAGGTGACTACCAGAGCTGGCATTCCCACAGAAGGTAGAGGAGCCGCCTGGGGATGACTACCAGAGAAGGTAGAGGAGCCGCCTGGTGACGACTACAAGAGCCAGCATTCCCAGAGAAGGCAGAGGAGCCGCCTGGGGATGACTACAAGAGCCAGCATTCCCAAAGAAGGTAGAGGAGCCGCCTGGGGATGACTACCAGAGAAGGTAGAGGAGCCGCCTGGGGATGACTACCAGAGAAGGTAGAGGAGCCGCCTGGGGATGACTACAAGAGCCAGCATTCCCACAGAAGGTAGAGGAGCCGCCTGGGGATGACTACCAGAGAAGGTAGAGGAGCCGCCTGGGGATGACTACAAGAGAAGGTAGAGGAGCCGCCTGGGGATGACTAGAAGAGCCAGCATTCCCAGAGAAGGCAGAGGAGCCGCCTGGGGATGACTACAAGAGCCAGCATTCCCAAAGAAGGTAGAGGAGCCGCCAGGGGATGACTACCAGAGAAGGTAGAGGAGCCGCCTGGGGATGACTACAAGAGCCAGCATTTCCAGAGAAGGTAGAGAGGAGCCGCCTGGGGATGACTACAAGAGCCAGCATTTCCAGAGAAGGCAGAGGAGCCGTCTGGGGATGACTACAAGAGCCAGCATTCCCACAGAAGGTAGAGGAGCCGCCTGGGGATGACTAGAAGAGCCAGCATTCCCACAGAAGGTAGAGGAGCCGCCTGGGGGATGACTACAAGAGAAGGTAGAGGAGCCGCCTGGGGATGACTACAAGAGCCAGCATTCCCAGTGAAGGCAGAGGAGTGGCTTGGGGATGACTACTTGTTATTCAGATACAGATTCCTACCTTTTTGTTGCTCTTCCTAACAAAACCTTCTCATGGGGTCCTGTTTTGGGGCAGGACAAGTTTTGGTTCAGTAGCCACCTGCTGCCTTCATGGCCCTTGGCTGGTTGGAAGCTGCAGATGTGGCATCCCTTTAGCAGTGATTAACCCTTTAGGGTCTGTTACTGAAGCCGGCCACACGCGGGTCCAATTCCCAAACAATGTTCTTTTGAAACTCTTTTCCTAGAATTTACGTTCGAATTTCGCACC